TAAATGCTGGTCCATAATATTCTAGGTGACACAATGCCTTATTAAAGCTAGTTTTACAGCAGATGTTTCTGAACTCACATAAAGTCAATTATCACCCTCATATTGTGACATGCATATTCATGAATAAAACTAAATTTCTTAGTAAAAGAACTGAATCATCATTGAGTCAAATAACTAAAGACAGATATGGCATTTCTCAAAGAAATGTTCTTGTAGAAGAGAGGAAATATTGAAGTAGCGAGTTAGAGGTCTAATTTCTTTTATCTTAACTCTTCTCAAGAAGGCAAAGCGATGATTCTAATATATAGCAATAACCTCTTATATGATTAACTAATGGTAAGTAACTCAGGAGGGTTTATAGTTGTTTATGATGCAGATGTGAAACAGAAAGAAAAAGAGTGAGCTCATAGCCCTGTGATGCCACATATTTTCTCGAAACACACCTCTATTATCATTAAATTGTCCTTTTAAGATTTGCATCTAGAGATTAATTTATAAGAAATAATTACCAATGAAGTTAAACTACATAATAAAGATGAAATTTATCTTTCTATGTAAAATGTATCATAGAATTATGAAATTAGAATGATAAGGACCCAACAGAGTTGTGAAAGAAAATTATGTGTATCTTATTGCAAAATTTCATTACAATTCATATTGTCAATTGACACAGATCTCCCAGTAAATGAGTAAAGAAACAAAAGCAATATTCACCAGGAAGATAGACTTACTGAGTTTATATTTCAAAGAGAAAGGCTAAACAACTCATATAAGACATCTAAAAACTGTTTTACAGAGAAATTTTCAGAAAATGGCCAGATCCAAGATTCAACAACCTCTTAACAATCCATTAAACATCTCTAAAAGTTAAAAATCACATCCATTATTACTTTATACTTATAAATTAGTTGATTTTGTGAATTTTACAAATTATGATCCATTTAAAGTTCTGGAACTTTTGTGTCTTGCCTATGATAACTTTAGAAAATTCACAGTATCATAATTAAAGAAAATCACAATGCATTTTACTCATTCCTTTAGTGATTCTATTATTTCTGGTAAACTTTTCCTTTTACAACTGAAATAGTCACTTCACCAACTATAATAGTAATTTCAAGCACTTACCATTCCCAATTCTTTTTTTTATTCCTTACAGAAGTATGGCCATTTCTGGTTTCCCCAAGGTAGAATTCATTTGACTGTCTGGGTGCCAATCATCTGTAACAGGAAGTGGTATGTGCTACTTCTAAGCCAGAATATTTGATTGCCAGCTCAAGTCTCCAGAATTCTCTCTACTTGCTGTTTTGCTGAGACAACGGAAGCATGTGTCAAGATGGAGATTATGTAGGATGGAAACATCTGGAATCACTGAGCCATAGCATAAAAGAGAACTGCCCTGGAGACTGGCTCAGACATCTGGCAGATCTGTGAGCAAGTGTGTTTGTTCTGCTTGTGGGTTGAGATTTTGAAGTTTAGTACTGCCGCATAACCTAGATTATCTTAACTAGTCAATCAGGTCACCATCATAGACCTATAGCAAACTTTAAATATCAAAGGACAACTCTATTTTCGTGAGCATTCTCAAGTTTCCTTTCTAGCAAATGGAGTGCTTAAACTGATTTTCATTTGTTAAAACATACAATTAACTCCAGAGTCTTTGTGCCAGTAGGCATGCCATATCCTTCTGGGGCTGCCAGTATTAGAGGTCACCATCATAGACCTATAGCAAACTTTAAATATCAAAGGACAACTCTATTTTCGTGAGCATTCTCGTTTCCTTTCTAGCAAATGGAGTGTTTAAACTGATTTTCATTTGTTAAAACATACAATTAACTCCAGAGTCTTTGTGCCA